CGACCCAGGAATAACCCAATTAAGGTTGCTACGGTACAAGATAATGTATTTACGTTTATTATTATCATAGTTATATTCATACAAAGTATTAAATCCACACAACCAATTAGTAAGGTTACATTTTATATACATTAGTCTCTGTGTGCACATTAGCTTTATTTTAATTACCTATCAAAGTGGACTTTATCACTGTTTGATTAAAGAACAAATTAATTAATGACCAATGGCTATAAAAATATGTTGCAGGCCATAACTAGAGTTTTTTTTTAATATATTTTTACCAGATATTAAAATTAATTTATCAATATTTATTGATTAATAAGTTTTGACTTAAATCTTTTCTACATAGAAATTTAGTTCATAATTGCCTTTAAAATAAAGATGTTCCCATAGAATTGACCCCAATGCGAAAGGTCAAAGGAACTAAGCTATACATCCTGATCTTTATCTATTATCTATCCACTGGAAGAATGTTATGTAAAATTTTTAATTACTCTGTGGGGAATAATTTGTTTTATTTCATTTCAATGAAGTCTTTCCCCTGAGACTTTTTTTTTATAATTTTGGCCTTTGAATTTAAGCCATTAATCTAAAAAATTACACAGTGTGAAATATTAAAAGATAAACATTCAATAATATTTTATATTTACATAATAATTATTTTGTCTCTAACTGCATTGTGTTGAATGGAAGAGATCTCTTTTAGAGACAAGCCCAAGCCCTTGCTAACAAGTTGTTGAACTAATCACTGTATCTTTTGTTCAAGTGCAATAAAGAATATATATATAATCTGTAGTATTTATAAATTACATTATAATGGACACCAGAACACATCTTTGTCAGTTATAAAATACTATTATTATTCAAGCATGCTTTAATTCTACGAAATAGCTTTAGTCAGCATAAAATCACAAAAACTGGTACCATAATAGGAACAAATCTTGTAGATTTTTTTTAATTGCTAATGATGGAATATATGCACTGTAGGTATACACTGGCAGGCAACCAGTGAGTGATCTTAGGCGAGGATGAAAAGACAGGACAGTTAGCGCATCGTGATGCGATATTTGGAATTAAGCATGATGGTTTCCAGGGGGAACCACATGAATCGAACCTAGTTGGGTATATTGCTAGCAATGCGCCTCTTAGTCTCCATTGTTAACACCCCCCCCCTCCTGTAAATTGAAAAAAAGTATTGTAAAAATTGATGACCTAATTACACGATTTTGTTGATGTCTTCCTTTTATCTCTCATCAAGGACATAGGACTTGTAGAGAGACTTCCATTTTTGGTTTTCAGCAGCAATTTTCAATTCCCAACTGGGTGGGACTGGTTGATGAACTCTCTTTTCAACCAATTCCTTCCAACTTGTTCATAAATGATAGTTCTTCCCTAACTTGAGATTGCTTGGATATTAAACTGTATAGTCTCCAAAGCACATGTCAATCAATCCATTTCCTTAAAAATATCTTTTAATTGATGTTTTTTTGGTCATTTTATTCATACAGCCTTGTAATGATAATGGTATGGTATACCACATAATATAACCATGAAAAATATTCAAATCAATTGAAAACTTACATCTTTTGACTGTCTGTCATAATGCTATTATATTAATAATAAACCACTTTATTCTGAGATAAGTATTTACATATACATATACTAAATATAATAATATAAAATAAAATATATGATAAAAGCTATTGTTTATTACAGTATGTCTCTAAAATTAGTGTGTCTTTTGGCATAGGCTTCTTCCAATGACTTCTATCATTCTACTGGCTTCTAATTTTTACAACCCTTCGCCATTTTACGTCTACAGTCAATTTTAACTTGTCATTCCATTTAATTTTGTCATAATTCGTTAAAAAAAATTAATATTATGGATTACAAAAAAATGTCTTCAGTTAAGACAATACTAGTTATTTTAACCTAAAAACAAAACCACTGAACTGATTTAGATAAAATTTCTACAGGACCAGTCTGGAAGTATATCCTCTCAGATAAAAAAAAAAAACATTTTTCCAAATCGGTTTAGAACTGGCTGAGTTATGAAGTTAACAAACATAAAATATTTCAATTCCGCTATTCGTCCACCCATAAATAGAATTTTGAAATTATATAATGACAAATTTTATAATAATGTTTTTTTTTGATGGGTAATAATGGTATGGTAACCCCGCCTGCGCTAACGGAATTCGCTGGTGGAGTACCAGTGAAGGGTGATAGATGAGAATGAAAACAGGCCAGTTAGCCCATCATGATGAATTCATCAGGAATTAACCATGATAGTTTCCAGGGAGAACCGCGAGGAGGTGGACCTGGTTGGGTATATTGCTAGCAATGGGATTCTCAGTCTCCATTACTAACAATCCCTTTCCCCCCTATTGAAGTTAGTTGAAAACTTCACAATAATGATATTATTTTATTTGTGCTAGTCCTCTTTCAATTCATAATATCATTTCAGCCATTGACTGTTCACTGCTGAACATAAGTCCAAGTTTTGGCAGTAGTTGCCACTCTTGGCAGGCAGATTGGCAAACGCAGATAAGTTTTTATAAATGACTCGGTAAACGTTGTTATACCATATACATTATTTCTAGAACAATACATGAAAATATATCGTACTACAACCATTATATTCGATTGTCATCTTACAACCATATAGCGGCATATAAAAATCGCGAATAAACAACAGGAGTTGATCGTAAAAGCGTGAAAATTTGAATTTGTATGTATTTTTCAATGCTAAATAATAATAAAATTAAAATGAAAAAAATTTTCAAAAAAATAAAAAAAAATATTTAGGCGTGGGTCACTCTTATCATTGAGGGGTATGAAAAATAGATGTTGGCCGATTCTCAGGCCTACCCAATATGCACACAAAATTTCATAAAAATCGGTAAAGCCGTTTCGGAGCAGTTTGGTAACAAACACCGTGACATGAGAATTTTATATATTAGATTAAGAGGGATGCTGCTGTCCATTCCTCGACTATTAAGTGCCCTTAGTCACTTCTTACAACACCTACGGAAAAGAAAGGGGTTGCCTATTCTATGCCAAGACCGAACAGCTATACAATGAATTAATATTGCATTTTTTCATATGTGCCATGCCATACTATATTCTCCGTTCTGTTTATACTCAAATCTGTCTATGTATTTATTATCTCTCATTTCGTCTTCATTACTGAAGGTCGTGACCTTGAAAGGTGTCTGTTGCCTCTCGCACGGTCTTCAGCCTCTCGCAGGGCAGCTGCAAATTGACAGTCCCGTAACGGTTACTTGGTCCGACCATCGACTAGGCTATCGTCCGCGTTGTCTTTTCCCCTCTATCTTGCCTACAACCATTAGTTTGTCCAGATTGTCGGACTTTTTTTTTAGTGGGTGATAATGTAATGGTAACACCACCCGCGCTATCGACGGGGCACCAGTGAAAGATGATAGGTGAAGACGAAGCAGGTCAGTTAGCCCATCGTGACGATTTCAACGAGAATTGTTCACGATGGTTTCCAGGGGGAACCACGTGGAGGTCAACCTAATAGGGTGTATTGCTAGCAATGGGGCTGTCAAACTCCATTGCTAACAATCCCTTTTCCCCAAGATTGTCGGACTGTCGTGGAGCAATATGACCGTATTCAAGAATTCTCCGATAGCAGACTGTCGAGAGCCTATCTTTTATGCGGAGTTGCGTCAGGATAGATTCTATGTTATTATATCAGTCACATAATCTTATCATTTTGTGATAATGTATCTAAATTACTTATATTTATAACCTCCTTAGACGTTCACGTTATCTTTTACCACAAATTTTAAACTGTTTTTTACCTTGTTTTTTTCATTCAGCTTATACTTACAGTCTAAATATTGTAATCAAGCACCTATTGATCTATTTAACTTCCCTCATATTGATTTTTATTTTAATATCTTGGCATCTTTAGATTCCAGTTACAATTTTTTCTCAAACATGCTTTGGAAATGTGAGCATTATTTTGATAATCTTCTTCAAGATAAATCAAAATTGCCGTACTGGCCAGATACGTGCGGGCAGCGGCCGACAAAAGTTGTATGAAAATCCATATCTGTCGTGTTCTGCGGCCAGATAAATTACTATGTAAACTCATATCTGTCCTGTAATTTAAAAACGGAATGACCTTTTACTTCAAAAGACGGCTACCAAGGAGGTAACTAATAAAAGGTTTTATTTAAATTTCGAACTGGCTTGCAAATAGAGAGCTGTTTATTGAAAAAAAAAACAAAGGAACATTATGGCGCGTGAAAAATTATTATTGTTCGTTATTCGTCATTGAACTTACAAAATAAAATTGTGTTTTTGATTTCCGCGCATTGTTTGAGAAAAGTACTATACAAGCCTTGGCCAACACAACTAGGCATTGATGGACTCACATATGTGTACCTCGTCTGCGCCTCGGCCCACATTTGCACCTTCGTCCATCAATGCCTCAGTTGCTGGCCGCTGCAGTAATATACTATAGCGTATTAATAAGATTAATACTCTTTCTTGTTTCCTCTAAAAGATTACAATAGTAAACTTATTATAAATACAAACAAATACAAGAAATGAAACTGAAAATCACACTGAGAGAACAATGGGCGCCGGAGGATTTTGCCAGTAATTGTCACAATAAATTAGTCACTATAGTTTTTAGGGGGAACCGCGTGGAGTTCGATCTGCTATTGATGGCAATGGGGATTTTCCTCCCCATTACAAATAATCCCCCCCCCCCCCCCTCCTTAGGAGTTAGGGATTTCGCACTATATTGTAATAATAAGTGAAATAGAGATTTATTTATTATTATTATTGTATTGTAGTATTGCAAAGTAGATTTTGTAATAATAACACCTGCAATGCCGCTGGTGTTGTGGGTGATGAGGCATGGGCGGCGGTAGTCACTTACCATCAGGTGAGCCGCATGCTCGTTTGCCCCATGTTGTAAAAAAATATTAATGAAATTGCTAACGGTATATTATTGTTTGCAGAATTATGTTCTCATCACTGTTGGACACGGCGCGGAACTCGCCATTCCGCGGCCCTCTCACCCCCGCACAATGCCAAGCTGGCGCCCTGACGCCGGCCAGCATTGAACAGGTAAGATATTCTTTATATTCAAGTTAAATACGTATAGTATTAAAATATTAACCCTAGAACTACTAACCGGGGTACATGTCTACCGCAGGCAAACTTTGATCTAAGTTTTTAAGCAAGTCTGTTTCAATTTTCAAAGTTCCTGATAAATAGACTTGTTTAGCAAAACATAATGGTTTTTTTCTCTCACTAACGTGTCCTCTTTGAAATACCATTTGAAATTTGAAAATCTTATATATATATATATATATATATATATATATATATATATATATATATATATATATATATATATATATATATATATATATATATATATATATATATATATATATAGTGTATATTTACCCCTGTTTGTAGTTTACATACATACAATTTCTTATGTCTTAGCCTTATGTTATGAAGTATATGTATAAGGGCATATGTTGCTGAACTATTTTCAAAAGTATTATGGAAGACCTAAACAATAAAAAGTATCAGTTTCAATTGAGGACCTAACATCAGAAATTTCTTCCAGTTCTTGTATTAAAAACTTGGAGAGACAGACATTATAAGAATAATAAGAGAATGAAAGAAAAAAAAAAGAAGTTTTTGTTAGTATTATTTTTTTTTTTATATTTTGAAGTAGTAGTCGCTTTTTTACTAGTACGAATGGATAACTAAAAAAGCTTGTAATTAGGGGAATGTAATGGGTTCATATTCAATATTATATATATCATTCTTAACCCCCCTTATAAAAACGTTAATAGCTATGTTACCATTCATGAGGACAAATGGTAACATAGCTATTGGAAGTGTTTTATTTTTTAATTTTGTATTAAATTTTTATTTGAAAAAAGTTTTTTTTTTTATACAATTTAGAATGGCAAACAAGCTGACGGTCCACCTGATGGAAAGTGGTAACCGTCGCCCATAGACGTGAGCAGTACCATGCACATAACAGAGTATACTGTTTCGTTCATGATACCCCCCATGCGTTGCCATTCTTGAGGACTCATATGTCATATACATGTCATATTGCCCATCCCTATTTTTCCTAGAGGTTTTAGTTTTTATAAATAAGGAGGATTATTGTGTAGTTTTATGTATTTCAATCAATCAGTCATTATCGTTTCAATCAATCAGAGTACTGCACTAGACAGTGTAAAGGGTTTTTTTGTTATTAAAATTATTTATACGTAATAGTGTACATAAATATTATTATTGTATTGTAATCACTTTGAATAGCTACGATAAAAAAAAAGTTGATAGCAAATTGTGTAACTATAGTTTTTTTTTTTATATAATTTTGGCAAAGGCCCAGTGTTTCTCATTATGCCATTAACAAATAAGAAACGTGACGAGATATTAAAAAGGATTTTAGTATTAGTGCCAATTATAGTGATATAATACGTAACTACACGCCCGATGATGAGAACTCATAACGGAGGGGGGCTGCCGCCTGCGACGCGGTCGGTCGGCGGCCCGCGGTCGCTCTGCTAACGCAGCGTGTCCTACTAGCGCCGCGGGCGGCAGGGTTGCCCTGTGACCAATAGATTATGAGAGCTGAGGGCTTTATTATTTTCATCAAGTTTTTATTTCTAATCATTATTGTATATAAACGAAATAAATAAAAAAAAAGTACTTTTAATGAATTTTACGGAAAATCAAGGAAATTAAATGTTTCGCTATTCATCAATAGATAGCGCCTATTTAAATAATAGTTTATACTATTCGCCAATAGATGACGTTGGCAAATATTTTACACAGTTCGTCAACAGATGGCACTGTTCTAATATTTGCTTTGCATTGCCATTTTACAGGTTTCATTCCAATCACAGTTTCTTTTTTTTGTAGAATTTCGATACGCACCTAAGAGCATTGTATGTTTCAGCCACAGGGCATGGCAGCGTCCGCTGTCGTCCCACAGGACTCGTGCGAGTTCGCGTCTCCCAAATACTTCGCGCTATGCGGTCTCGGCGGTATCCTGTCTTGTGGTAAGTGCATCCAAATGTCTTCTGAACTCTTGATTACTGATTGACCTATGGCATGCCGAAACAGAAGTAACTTTCACCAATTTTCAAAGATGTTTCACAAAAAATCAATGATCACTAAACACCCAATTAATAGCAAAAGAATCATTAGTCTTTTTAGAATTAGTGAAGATATAGCATAACATATCATTAGAAGGTTACTTTGTACAAAACTCTTTGCATGGGTACCTCTGCCCTTCTTGTCAACCGACTTCACAAAGGAAAGGAGGAGGAGGATTGAGAAACTCAATATGGTTGTATTATGTTTATTACCTCATAACTCTATCAGTTTTTAACTAATTTGGTAAATTCTTGTTTATATGAAAGGACATACGGGTTTTTTTTTTTGTTGGATGAAAATGGATTGGTAGCCCCACCCGCGCTAACGGGATACACTGACGGAGCACCAGTGAAGGGTGATCGATGAGAATGAAAACAGGCCAGTTAGCCCATTATGACGAATTCATCATGAAGAATCAATCATGATAGTTTCCAGGGGGAACCGCGTGGAGGTCGACCTAATTAGGTATATTGCTAGCAATGGGATTTTTAGTCTCCATTACTAACAATCCCTTTCCCCCTAGGACATACGGGTTGGTTCCATAAAAATCTTAACACAATTCTTTCAGCAGTTGAATTAAAAAAAATACTATTTTGTCACAATTGAAGTATGTTTTATCCCTTAAAGGGATTTTTTCCAGTCAACCTTGACAACCCAAAAAGGGAAAGTATCTATAAAGTTTGTATATATTACCAGAGGGAGATTTTGTACAAAAGTCGTTTGCTTCAGCACCTCTGTCCCATTCGTGTTTCTACCATGGTACAAAGGACACCTGAGTCCTTAGGAATGGCAACGCATGGGGGTATCATGGGCGAAACAGTATACTCTGTTATATCCATGGTACTGCTCATGTCTATTGGCGACGATTACCACTTGCCATCAGGTGGGCCGTCAGCTTGTTTGCCATTCTAAATTGCATAATACATAATGCATAATACACACCATTATACATATAATTAATGGTAGATTTATGTTTTTAAAAATTTCCTATCTAAAATACTTGGCTTAAAACAGGTATCACCCACACCGCTGTGGTGCCTCTGGATCTGGTCAAGTGCCGTCTGCAGGTGGACGGAGAGAAATACAAGAATGTAGTGACTGGCTTCAAGGTGTCCGTACAAGAGGAAGGTGTCCGAGGTCTCGCCAAGGGCTGGGCACCCACATTCATCGGTTACTCACTACAGGTAACAATATTGAAACAAATTAAAACAAAAAACAAACACTAAATGTTAAGTGGAACAAACCACACACAGAGATTAGTGTGCACAAATGTACAGTCACCCATCCTAGTTGGAACCACGGCCGGTGTTGCTTAACTTGCATTAGCGTTACAGCTTCTACGCAATCACTCCTCTTTGTATTATATACTTAAATGCTAATTACGTACCTAATACCTTCATAAAGTTTCAGCCAATACAACTGATCGGTTATTTTATAGCATTTTATATGTGATCCTTTAGATTGATATAACTTTTTTATTTATGAACCGATTGAAATAAAACAAACACTAAATGTTAAGTGGGACAAACAGCAATGCATTATTGAAAACCGCATTCAAATCGGTTAATCCGTTTTTGAGATTATCGTGCACAAACATACAGGTAAACAGACAAAAATTCTAAAAATCATTCTTTTGGGTTCTATTACGTTCATAAAGCTTCCCTATAATAGTTTTTCTTATATATCTTCCATTTACAGACAGAGATCAGATAACGATTTTATTATATTTTTATTTTATTTTAATAATACATCTGGAATCAACAGCTTATTTATTTATTAGTACAAATGTGTGTACATGGCGGACTTAATGCTGAAAGTATTCTCTCCCAGTCAACCATAGCGAAGTGTCAGAATACTCGAATGCGGTACTAGTAATTATTGATATACATACATACTAAAATTACATATATAAACGAATAAATATATATGAATAACAAATATGCTTACACATATATGATATATACTATATTATACACGAATTTGGGAATAACATAAAGCACTTACTGCTCGGATAAAGATAAAAAGTGAGCGTGAACGCTTTTTTTTAAAGACGGTTTAGTCGGTTTAGCTTATATCTAGAATAATTAAAAATATTATGTTTACACTATACATTAGCCAATTACAGATTTCCAATTTGTATACCAGACAATATTATGCCTATTTTTAGAGGGTAGGTTATTATATATATATATATATATATATATATATATATATATAATATGGAGATACTTATTTGAAGCGTTGCATCACTAAAAGTTCAGCAATAATTAGTGTTAAAAGTGTGTATTATTCATGTGTTATATGTATTAATTGATATGAAAATCAATTAACTGACTAATAAATTTCCAGGGTCTCTGCAAGTTCGGCCTGTACGAAGTGTTCAAAGTGGGCTACACCGGTCTACTGGACGAGGAGACCGCCTACACGTACCGCACGCTCGTGTACCTCGCCGCCTCCGCCTCCGCTGAGTTCTTCGCCGATATTGCTCTGTCGCCGCTCGAAGCAGCTAAAGTAAGTTCATTATATCAACCGTTTATTGACCACCGCTGACCATAGTTCGTCCCCTACTAGTTTTTGCCTGTCGTTGCCACGCTTGGCAGGTGGGTTGGCAACCGCAGTTAGGCTTTGTGATATTTATGGAATTAATTTTTTTTTTTTTATGAAACGCAATCTCAGTGTATTTATTTTTTTATTCACAATATTTCTATCTTAATATGTTCTATAGCATAAGTATATTCTTAGAGTCGGTAATGGTTTCACCTTATATTTAACTTTGCCTAGTTTATACTAGATGGCGCTGAATTATAGTTTATACTTTTTATTATAGGTACGCAGTTTATATTTATGAAACTTGTCCAAAATACCATTAGACTAAGTCTCCGATGAAAGCATAAATTATTAGGTACCTATGTCGCCCGATGACGAAAAAAAGCGCATGGAGGGGTACGTAGGTGGCGCTGCGGTCGGCGGCGGTAAACGGCGCCCTGCGACAGCAGCGTGACCCGTGCCACCTGCACCCCGTGACACATAGATTATGAGATCTGAGGGCTGATGTTTTTTTTAACCAACTACAAAAAAGGAGATTGTTCTGAATTCAAATTGAAAAGCAAAATCGACTTGGTTTTATTACAAGATTATAAGTAGCAGATAGACAATTCTCGGCGTATATTTTTGTCTGTTATATATCATTGAATAGCATGCTACAATACACGTTGTGGGATAAATCCGCCATTATTCTCGTTATGTGAAGGATAATAGGTGAGGATGAAGTAGGTCAGTTGGCCCACCAACGAGAAGGATAATAGGTGAGGATGAAGTAGGTCAGTTGGCCCACCGTCATGAATTAAATTCGACAAGAATTAAACATGATGGTTTCCAGGGGAACCGCGTTGAGGTCGACCTGAGATGGTATATTGCTAGTAATGGGGCTATTAGACCCCACTAACAATCCCTTTCCCCCCTTTATAATCTATATAGTTCTGAACACAGATGTTTAAGCTGATCCAAATGTAGAAATGAATTCGTACCTACTTTTACTGTAATTTCCAGCGCTGAGTTTGTTACAATCATGGTTGTGCAATAAAGTTGTTTTTTTTTATACCACTGAGGTGACAAACAAGCATACGGCCCACCTGATGGTAAGCGGTTACCGTAGCCTATGAACGCCTGCGATACCAGAGGTATTACGCGCTCGTTGCCAACCCTGAAGAAACCTTATTATTATTATTATTTTATAAAAATGCTATGATTTTTACCAACTATTGCAAGTAAAACAGTATATGTACTGAGTTATTTAAAACGTTTAGCGTTGAAATAAAACAAGTATTCGAGCGACAATGTCAGTAGTACTATAGTCTGGTCTGAATTCGACATTGTCGTGTTTGGCCCCTGGCCAAGGACGCAGCCTAGAAGTGTACGTATCTTATATATATGTATGTATGTATGTATGTATATGTAACAGACTTTAGACTAAAGCAGTGTTTCTCAACCTTTTTTTTTTTTTGTTGCTGCGGCACATATTTAACGATTTCAAAATTTGGCGGCACACAAAGAAAAAGATAAAAAATATTTACTCACTACAACACACTGCATAAATAGTTTATGACAAAAATTTTAAATATTTGCAAAATTTGGCGGCACACTTTTAAAATTTGGCGGCACACTTTTAAAATTTGGCGGCACACTTTTAAAATTTGGCGGCACACTTTTAAAATTTGGCGCCACACTTTTAAAATTTGGCGGCACACTTTTAAAATTTGGCGGCACACTTTTAAGATTTGGCGGCACACTTTTAAAAATTGGCGGCACACTTTTAAAATTAGGCGGCACACTTTTAAAATTAGGCGGCACACTTTTAAAATTAGGCGGCACACTTTTAAAATTTGGCGGCACACAAAAGTGCCGCGGCACAGTGCTTGAGAATCACTGGACTAAAGCAAGTACGCGTCAGATGTATGTAAAATAATGTTTCATAATTGATTTATGAATGACATAGCTGTATCCTGCGGTTTTGCTCGTGTAAATTTAGATTGGTAGAGAATGCTGCTAGAATTAAGTCTGCCTTTTATACCATATTCATTACTAGCGAAACATGGATATTAAACCATGTAATTTTAGACATAGTACGTTTAAATAAATACACATAATGTTAACAGAGATTTAAAAGAGTAACTGTTGAGTTTCTTGCGGGCTCTCCTCAACAGATAACGACCTTCCGAATCCTGCAGTAAATTAAAAATAAAAATTGACGATTTAGAAATCTTTTAAACAGGTATATTTGAATAAACGTGAATTGGATGGACTGTATGAAATAATATGGCCAGAATGAGTGTGAATGTGGAAATAACTGCGAATAGCATGTACAAAAGTCGATTGCGTGGGTACCTCTGTCCCATTCGTGTTTCTACCGTGAAGCAGCTGTGTTTGCATGGCTGTGTTTCGGTTTGAATTGTGGGATATGGCGTGAATTTACTGGGTATAGAGGAATAACACCTTAGTCCACAGGAATGGCAACGCATGGGGGGTATCATGGGCGAAACAGTACACTCTGTTATGTCCACGGTACTGCTCATGTCTATAGGCGACGGTTACCACTTTCCATCAGGTGGGCCGTCAGCTTGATAGGTATTCTTAGTTTCATAAAAAAAAAAAATTATAAATGGTATTACCTGTTTTTATATTGCAACATCTGTGCTTCCATCAATTATTTTTCGCTATACATTTCAACATGGACTTTGAGGTCGTGTTTCAATAAACGATCTCAGAGTCTACGAAAACAAAGTAACGACCAGCGATAAACGAAACTCCATTCTGTCGGTTTGCTCTAATCACTATGACTGATTTCCTCTTATTAATTGTTTAACCAGTTGGTTATGTATTCAATATTTTTTTCTTTTTGAGTATTTAATTGAATTAGTGCTAATTGGTGGTTTGTATTCACACATTTAAACTTAAAAATGTAAAGTAATAATAAAATTATTTAAAAGAGCAACACGCAAGTTTCTTGCTCGTTCTTCTTGTGATGAGACAGCTTTCCGAACGAGCGGTAGATTAAAAAAAATGTAATGACTATTCAAAAGTGCTTCAATGTAAGTTTATTTGAATAAATGATTTTCTATTCTATTCTATTCTATTCTATTCTATTCCATTACACAATATTTTAAAGTCAATATTTTCCTCATTTCTTATTATCTACTCCAGTCAACTTGATATAATATAACCGAACTAAATGTACGCCGAGGATGAAAACTTTAAAAAAAAAAAAAAAAAGAAACAGACCGTTATAGTATCAGTGTGAAGTGAAAGACTTCAAAATAAATTAGAAATACCGACACAGAGACTTAACATGTTTCAAAGAAATAGTTATTGCATGGCTATTAAAATATATAATAAATTGTGTAACAATGTTAAAAATTTGACCAACACACCGTTTAGGAGAAGATTGTTTGACTACTTGATTGATGGTTGTTTCTATTCTGTGAAAGACTTTTTGAATAGATGTAATTTGTGATACTTGACATTGTAAAAGCTTATTAGTGATTGTAATTAGAAGTAATTGGTTTTGTTGATGTTAATTTGACTTATTTTGGATATTATAAAAAAAAAAAACATTTAAACACCGAAATGGTAAATACTGCTGAACAATTACTTAACAATAACTTAAGATCTGCTACTGGCAATCACCAATATTTTGTAAATAAATGATTATTATTATTATTATTATTATTAATTAATTAATTAATAAAAAACTATTGTTACTTTCAAAGAATGTTACAGATTAAAAATATTAACAATATGTACACATTTTTTTTTTGTGTCTATGATACCTTTTTTTTATTAAGCACAGATAACACACCGTGTATACTGTTCTAGGTGCGTATCCAGACCATGCCCGGCTTTGCGAACACGCTCCGCGAGGCGTGGCCCAAGATGGTCCAGAACGAGGGCTACGGCACATTCTACAAGGGCCTGGTGCCACTGTGGGGCCGACAGATCCCTTACACCATGATGAAATTCGCCTGCTTCGAGAGGACCCTCGAGTTGTTATATAAGGTTTGTTATTTGGTCACAACATATTTATTCATATACTAGCTAATCGAAGCCCGCGACTTTGTCCGCATGGTATTTGCTATTTTTTATAATATATCCGGGAACACTGGACCAAAATTAACAAGTGAAGTGACGTTCTCACTCTTTGCCTTAGGTCAAAATGACTTAAGTAGGTTGTGTACAAAGCTGTATAAGTTACTATAGTTTTTTTAACTATCCCACGGGAACTCTTCAGTTTTCCCTGATTAAAAATATGTAAAATGTTGACCGGGGATGTAAGGTAGTACCATGCAGAATTTCATTTAAATCGGTCCAACAGTTTCGGAGATTAACCCGTACAAACAGATGAACAGACAGAATTAACTGTATTTTTCTTTTTATAAATCGTGCAATAAAGTGTATTTTTTTTTTTATTTCATATTTAAACGTTTTATATTTCTTGGAAAGAGCTATTTTTATAGAGAAACGAAAAAATTTAAAAAAGATCTGTGTTCATTTCTAACAACGCCCTGATTCGGTTTTTAGCGTTTTTTTTTTCTATGTACAGACATTTGAACTCTACAGTTTTTATATATGTATGGATATAAAGACATATTTGTAATTGCTAATTAAAAACTTGTTCATGTCAGTTCCAAGGCATTCTAAGACGAGTATGTAAATTGTACAATGACTAACTTAATATTATTGTAGTAGGTTTTTTTATACAACTTAGAATGGCAAACAAGTTGACGGCCCACCTGATGGAAAGTGGTAACCGTCGCCTATAGACATGAGCAGTACCATGTACATAACAGAGTATACTGTTTCACCCATGATACCCCCCATGCGTTGCCATTCCTGAGGGACTCAGGTGTTATTCCTCTGTACCCAGTAAATTCAAAAGTCAAAAAGTCGTTTGCTTGGGTACCTCTGTCCCATTCGTGTTTCTACCGTAAAGCAGTTGTGTTTGCATGGCTGTGTTTTGATTTGAAGGTTGGGATATGGCGTGAAATTACTGGGTACAGAGAAATAACACCTGAGTCCTCAGGAATGGCAACGCATGGGGGGTATCATGGGCGAAACAGTATACTCTGTTCTGTCCACGGTACTGCTCATGTCTATAAGCGACGGTTACCACTTTCCATCAGGTGGGCCGTCAGCTTGTTTGCCATTCTAAGTTGTATAAAAAAAAATCTACATAAATTTGGATTAATGCAAAAGGTTGTCAAATTTTGTCTCTCCTAAGTTGCCATTTTTCGTAAGGTGTGTTGTCGAGTTGTCGTACTTCTCAGAGATGTCTTACTAATTTCACCCCCGTTTCTAATTCCAGTACGTAGTGCCCAAGCCACGCGCGGACTGCACCAAGGGTGAACAGTTGGTGGTGACGTTCGCGGCCGGCTACATCGCCGGCGTGTTCTGCGCCATCGTGTCCCACCCTGCCGACACCGTCGTCTCCAAGCTTAACCAGGTACCCATCGCTGATGCTGTCAAAAACAAATGCAAATTTACCGCTTCAGTGTATCGTCGTCTTCATCATGTCAGCCTTCAACTGTCCACTGCTGAAGATAAGCCTCCCTTGGAGGGTTTTGCCAGTAGTTGCCACGTTTGGCGGATTGGCAACTGCAGTTTTTTTTTTTTAATACATTATACTGGAATGGTGCCCCTGTGCCAGTGGTAACGGTATACACTGGCAGGGTAGCAGGGATGATAGGTGAGGATGAAAAGGCAAGTCAGTTAGCTCATCGTGATATTCATCACCTAGAATTTAGCATGATGATTTCCAGGGTGGACCGCGTGGAGGTCGACCAGGCCATATTGCTAGCAACGGGAGTCGTAGTCCGCATTGCTAACAATTGTCTCCCCTCCTGGCAACTGCAATTAGGCTTTAGAGATGTTTAAGAGGGACGCTACTGCCCATCCCTCGCCTTCAGTGTATAATTTAGTTTTATTATGGGAATGGGCATTAAATTTTATAATAAAACTACCTTTTACCCGTGGCTTCGTTCGCGTAAACGGGATATGTTTACTGATTGGGATAAAAAATTGTTTTTTTAATCCATGGTAATAGAATGATGACCCTATCTGCGCTATCAATATACGTTGGCGGGGCACCAATGGAATGGTAACCCCGCCTGCGCTAACGGCATACGATGACGGGGCATCACTGAGGTATGATAGGTGAGAATGAAAAGGCAGGTGAGTTAGCCCATCGTTATGAATACACCTGAAATTCAGCACGATATTTTTCAGGGTGGACCACGTGGAGGTCGACCGAATATACATCACTATATTGCTAGCAGTGGGACTTGTAGTCCGCATCACTAATAATCCCTCCCCCCAGTATTGGGGTTCTAATCTCTATTACTAACGATCCCTTTCTCCCCTTCCAACAAGCTTTGGTATTCTATATTGAAACATAATTGTATTTAACAGGATAAGACGGCGACCGTGGGCTCGATCGTCGGCAAGCTGGGCTGGGCGGGCGTGTGGAAGGGTCTCGGCCCCAGGATCATCATGATTGGTACCCTCACCGGCCTGCAGTGGTTCATTTACGACGCGGTCAAGGTCAGTCACAGAACAGTCTATCCATCTAACATATAATGGCAACGCATGGGGGGTATCATGGGCGAAACAGTATACTCCTTGTTACTTGTGTCCATGGTATTGCTCATGTCTATAGGCGACGGTTACCACTTTCCATCAGGTGGGCCGTCAGCTTGTTTACCATTCTAAGTTGCATAAAATAATATATTTTCCCGCCAAATACCTATCGAGGTATGCATGGTGAACGGAAAAATTGCATTACGTTCATATTAATTATTGCCAAGTTTTAAAATAGCAAAATATGTCATTGAAAATTTAGAACCAAAATTGTGTATTACATTTGTATCCTTTGTGATTATCTTTTTAAGTTCACTATCAGTACATAAAATCATCAGATCATCAGATTCAGATCAGCAACATCAGATTGCTGTCTTCTTCACAAGCAATCCCAATGTAGCTTTCTATAGTAAAGGTTCTTTTTTTAAATCCGTTAATCTGTTCAGTTTATCCATTTTAAATAAATATATTTTTTATTTATTGAGCAAAAGAACAAAATGGTGTCAAATATACAAAAAAAAAAAAAAAAAATAACAACTCCAGTAATAGCGAAGATGTCGGTTACGATAACAGTGTTGCGAGTTCAATGGTTTTTTCCCATCTCAAAAATGCCCAAATCGTGTAAAGAAGGTTTCACTTCGAAAATAAAATATCACTTTATTATGGTGTTAGTTTAAATTCCAATGATTATTAATTCAACCAATTGTTCCTACCGATCCAATGTGTGGACAACAGTATATTATGAGGCATCATCTTGAACTCCTCGACTAAGGCGTTTAAAGTAATATCGTATACTAACACTGGCCTCCATTCACAGGTATGGCTCAGAATGCCCCGACCCCCACCAGCTGAGATGCCCGAGTCCCTACGCAAACGGCTAGAGGCCGAGGAGGCGAAGGCGAAGAAGTGAACATAGCGTTAATACCCTCGCAAACTAGCCAAACAACGTCCAACGTCGTCTCTCTCTCTTATCTATGCGAAAAGAGAGAGATGAAATTGGATAAATTCTGGCTGTGTTAAGAGTTAGACAAGTTATTGTATTCAATGATGTTTCAATAGTCCAATAATATAGATTTATGTACAATTGAGTCGTGTACGTAACACAATAACATACTTAGGGTTCAGATTTCTCTGGCACACACAACTTTGGCTGAGTAATAACTCAGCTACGGCTGAGTAATAACTCAGCCACGGCTGAGTAATAACTCAGCCACGGCAGAGTAATAACTCAGCCACGGCAGAGTAATAACTCAGCCACGGCAGAGTAATAACTCAGCCACGGCAGAGTAATAACTCAGCCACGGCAGAGTAATAACTCAGTCACGGCTGAGTAATAACTCAGTCACGGCTGAGTAATAACTCAGTCACGACTTAGTAATAATTTTGCCACGAACATGTTCAACACTAAAATTGTTGCGTGCCCGTTGCCAACCCAAAAGAAAGCTCGTTGTCATTTTTTAAAGAACAACAAAAACGTTCGATCTTCTTTTTGGTTGTAATTCATACCTTGAATGCGATTGTAAATCCACTATTGAGACATCATTACCTAAATAAACCGCGACGTTAAAGTGAGATTCACTGCCTTGTCAAGCATACACCTATATGTATATGTACAATAATCAAATACTGATATAAAACATCGCGGCGATCGTTTTGTTCCACATATGTAGTACCAACAATTACCACAATAAATAAGCGTGTTTATTGTTAATTTATTATTGAATAAAATATATTTTAATTTATTTTTGTTGGTTTATTTATGTATATAAGCAGTTCGGTTGGATGTATGTATCACCGTTGGAAATCTCGTTCAATAAACATTAGAACAACATTTATTTGTTTTACTAAATTCTTCTAAAGTAATTGAACATTTCAAGAGAGTACTATTTAGTTATTTCGCTTTAAAAAAAAAAACAAAGCTTAAGTATTTCATGGAAATATTTTAACCCTTAAATACCTGAAGTTTCAAATTTGATACCGGGGTTATAAATCGCATTGGGCGCCTACAATCGATTTTATTTTAATATTTGGCTGTTTACATGTTACCAAATGTTTTTTTTTTTTTCAAAATAAATATAAAAAAATATCGTTTTGATTTTTCGTACCTACTATTTTTCCCCATTAGTAAACACAGTAAAGGGTACACTTATATATTTTTTGAATTTGATTCAAAACATCAAGCTTTTAAGGGTTAATAGATTTAAAACTAAATAGAGAAAAAATAAATAGAATGTATTAAACGATTTTAATAGAGAGGGAGACTGTACAAAAGTCGTTTGCATGGCTGTTTCAGTTTGAAGAGTGGGTTATAGCAGTGAATTTACAGGGTACAAAGGAATACCTGAATCCTCAGGAATCGCAACGTATGGGAGATATCATGGGCGAAACAGTACACTCTGTTACATCCATGGTACTGCTCATGTCTATAGGCGACGGTTACCATTTTCCATCAGGTGGGCCGTCAGCTTGTTTGCCATTCTAAGTTGTATAAAAAAAAATTAAACTATTACTTGAATGACAAACGTGCATTAGTCGATTATTCACGTACTTTTTAATAACTATGTAATTTTAGACATAGTACATTTAAATAAATACACATAATGTTAACAGAGATTTTAAAAAATAAGTAGGTACTTAGTTTCTTGTACGTTTTTTTCATGGGATATCAACATTCCAAACCCTGCAAATGGATTAACTATAAATATATTAAAAATTAAAAAAAACCGTCCACACAAATCTATAAAAAGAGTTGATGACCTTGAAACGCCTAAACAGATCTTCATAAATTGTAGCTATAAGCCTTCTCGATCACGTTTTTTTTTGATGGGTGAAAATGGTATGGTAACCCCGCCTGCGCTAACGGGATACGCTGGCGGAGCACCAGTGAAGGGTGATCGATGAAAATAAAAACAGGCCAGTTAGCCCATCATGACGAATTCATCAGGAATTAACCATGATAGTTTCCAGGGAGAACCGCGAGGAGGTCGACCTGGTTGGGTATATTGCTAGCAATGGGATTCTCAGACTCCATTACTAACAATCCCTTTCCCCTGTCTCGATCACGTTAGCTTTCAAACAAAAAAACTGCATTATAACCGATCCATTCGTTTAGGGACTCCGATGCCAGATCCAACAAATGTTTTTTTTTTCCAAATATAATTTTCTAATAGTTTGTGCTTGTGGAGTACAGGCCACATATATTATTTATAGCTATATTATTATTTACCAAATTCGAAATTGACACGCATATCTATTGTTTCCTTTTGGCTTCCCTTTACGGCCCTAGTCTTCTAAGTTCCTTTGACTATTATATACATATTTCCAATTTCCATTCCTGGTTTCCTTTGTCGCCCACATATTTTGGTCCTTCGAGCCGGAGAAGCGCTATCAGTTCCGTTACCGCCCGATCCAGATTTTGAGCCGTCGGAATCGTTCTATCATCAGCAAGAGGTTGGCTCATTGAATAATGCAGCGCTTGTATCGCCGTCGAGGGGTAGGCTGTCAGGAGCACAGCAGTTACCTGGCTCGGAGTGTGGTCAAGGATGCTTTTCGAGGAGTCCGGTTAGTGAGCATCGTAACGACGATACGCGTCACATATCCCCACCGGGACCAACTGTGCAGGTGAGTGAACTAGGTCGTTTGGCAGATGCTATTTTTACCTTAGCTAAGAAATCTGCTAGACCTTCTTTTGAAGACCTTGCCACCTTCAGTGGTAACGTTTATGAGTGGTTATTGTTCAAAAAGAGTTATGACGATAGCAAATCCTATTTTACACCTCACGAAAATATGTCTAGGCTACGCAATGCGTTACGTGGTAATGCTCGAGAGGCAGTCTCGGTGTTATTACTTACCTCTTCATGTCCAGAGGATGTACTGCAAGCTCTTGAACTACGTTTTGCTCGACCTGAGCAAATTATTTTGTCGGAGATATCCGCAGTTCGAGCCCTACCTAAGTTGGGTAGACAGCCTAATGATATTTTCACTTTAGCCACAAAAGTAAAAAGCAGTGTAAATGTTATAAATTTATTAGGTCATAGAGAATACATTTATTCACCTGAATTATTACACAACGTTATTTCAAAATTAACACCTTTATTATATAACAAATGGTGTGACTTCGCTCAGGCACACCACACACCCGGTCAACCACAGCTCGAGTTGCTTGCTGAATTTTTATTGCAGGAGGCCAATAAACAAGCACGTTTTGGGCTGCCATATGAGGCGGTAAATGTCCCATCTCATACAGAGAGGACGAGGGCAGCGGTCACGTCTGCGGCGCCGCGCAACGATTGTACGCAGGCTGCATATCGCTTCGCGCCTTCAAGATATACAGTGCATACTGCCAATGCATCTGTGCCACTTCAAATAAAATCGCCTATATCCTGTGCATTTTGTTCTGGTCCACATAGTATAAAGACCTGTTTCAAATTCTTAGCTCTTGCAGTTGACGAACGTATCACTTGGGTGAAACAAGAAAAACTTTGTCCGAGGTGTTTAAAGAGAGGTAAGCATAGTTGGAGATTTTGTAAAGCTCGACAATGTGATATTTGTAAACAAAATCATCATAAATTTTTACATTCTGAAATTAATTCGAATATTACAAATTTACATAATACAAATATTGACACTGTCACTTGTCAAAACGAAAATATAAATTCTTCTTCTAATAATAAATCAGTTCCGAGTACGAGTACTAGCAATGCAGTTTCTTTTTCAAATAAAGAAGTGCAAAGAGATCGGATACTTTTAAAAATTTTACGTGTTATATTATCTGGTCCAACTGGCGATATCGAAACTTTTACACTTTTAGACGATGGTTCCTCCGTTTCAATAATCGATGCCGACTTAGCGAAGCAGTTAGGTCTTAGCGGACCTCAACAAAACATGAACATCACAACTGTTGTTGGTACTCGTAGTGTTACCACTAGTTTAGTAGATTTTAATATTAAAGGTAAGCATTGCTCTGAGGTTCATACTATTAAGGGAGCCCGAGCTGTACCTGATTTAACATTAGCATCTCAATCGGTTTCTGCTAATGAGTTGTTACCTTTAGAACATTTGTGTGATCTTATTGACGTTCTTTCATACTCTAATGCGACTCCAAAGCTTCTTATAGGCTTGAGTGACTGGCATTTATTAATTTCCAAAGAGAATCGCGTAGGTACTCGTTCCCAACCTGTGGCCACTCGTACGGCCCTCGGGTGGGTGTTGTATGGATTAGCATCAAAGATTACTAAACCGATTCAGTTCATTAATCATTGTGTATTTTCTGAAACGGAAAATGATCTTGATACGTTGATTCGAGATTATTATAGATTAGACGCAATAGGTTTAAAACTACGTGAACCTTATACCTCTTCTGAGACAAGAGCGATTCAAATTCTGGACAAGACTATACAGCGTCTTCCGAATGGTCGTTTTGAGGTAGGTTTACCATGGCGTTATGATTCACCAATTATGCCGAATAGTTATAATCATGCTTTGTCAAGGTTGAATGGTTTAAATAAACGATTCAAGCGGGACCCTGATTATCAGTTGTTGTATAAAGAAAACATTGAAGCTTATGTCAAAAAAGGATACGCTGAGGAGTGTAACGATTTTGATGATGCTCTTTCAGGGTGTAAGCGTTGGTATTTGCCTCATTTCGGTGTGACGAATCCCAATAAGCCCGGGAAGCTGAGGATCGTTCACGATGCTTTTGCCAAATCCAACGGTGTCAGTTTAAATTCATTACTATTGCCAGGCCCAGACTTACTTCAATCTTTAGTAGGTATTCTCATTAGATTTAGGGAAGGGCAGGTGGCGTTGTCAGGAGATATTAAGGAAATGTTTCCACAAATTAAAATTCGTGAAGCGGATCGCGATTGTCAACGCTACCTGTGGCAACCAGATGGACCTGATGGTCCAGTCCACGAGTTTAGGATGTCATCTCTTATTTTTGGTGCCGCGTCGTCTCCTTTCACTGCTATTTATGTAAAAAATAAGAATGCTAGGGATTTCGAAAAGCAATTTCCTGAGGCGGCGAAAGCTATTATTGAGGATCACTACATGGATGATTTTATTGGTAGTGTAGATGATATTGAGGTCGCTGCACGTCTCGCTGGGGATATCGTAGATATTCACAGTAGATGCGGTTTCGAAATGCGTGCCTGGATATCAAACAAACCGGAAGCTTTGCGTTTAGTTCCAAGTGTGTTGCGTAAAGATGGTGAAACTAGTGTGAACCTTGACATAAACAAAGCAACTACCCGTGTTTTAGGCTTGTTTTGGAACCCTGTAAATGATAATATAATCATTACTACACTAAACGCCAAGTTTTAAAGGATTTAATGAGAATTTTTGATCCATTAGGTTTTTTATGTCCATTTATCACACAGGGCAAGATTTTATTCCAATGAACATGGCGATTAGTTACTGGTTGGGATGACCAATTGCCCCAGAGTGAATGTGTCAAGTGGTTAGAGTGGTATCGTGGTTTTGAAATGTTAAAGTCACTATCAATTTCACGGTGTTATTCAAATTTTATCGGCCCAGTTAGTCGTGAGTTGCACGTGTTTTCAGACGCCAGTGATCAAGCTTATGCATGCGTTGCTTACTGGCGACTTACGTATTGTGATGGTTCGGTAAAAGTCGCGTTTGTTATGAGTAAATCGCCAGTCAGTTCTCTTGAACCAACAGCTATAGCTAGGCTGGAACTTCAGGCAGCTTTGCTAGGGGTACGTCTTGCAGACACAATCACTCGGAAACAGAGACAAAAAATCAATCTCCGTTATTTTTGGTGTGATTCGCGCGTAGCCTTGTCGTGGATTCGAAGTGATGCACTTAACTATAAAGCATTCGTCGCGAATCGGGTCGGAGAGATTTCAGAATCAACCTTACCGCGCGAATGGCGTTGGGTACCGTCCGATCTTAATGTAGCAGATGACGCCACTCGCGTGAGTTCTAAAAGTGTGGTTGAACTTAACAGATGGTTGAACGGACCGTCCTTTTTGATGTCACCTGAAGAGGAATGGCCAGTAGAGCCCGAAGGGCCGGTCCCCGTTATTGGTCAGGACCTCAAGTGTCATCAAACTTCTTTGGCAGATTTTCGGCTTCATTTTAATGTTGTTCCAAATTCTAAAAACTTTAGTAGCTGGCTGCGGCTCTTACGAGCCACGGCCAGAGCTCATCAGTTTTTACGCTTACTTAAGGAAAGTAGATTAAGATCTGGAAATAATAATGATCATTTTCGTAATAGGGGTGGGCTACGTCCGCTTCTCTGTAAAGACATGAAGTCTGCGGAGCTTCATTTATTGCGACAATGTCAAGTGGAGACATTTTCTGCTGAGATTGCGGCCTTACAACGTAGGGAACCACTACCTAAATCCAGTAAAATTGCTAGTTTCCATTAAGCAGACTTCAGATGGCCTTCTTCGTCTAGATGGGAGAGTATCTGCTACGCCTGATCTCTGTAATGATGTCAAGTATCCTCCGATTTTAGATGGTCGTCACCACATCATCCACTTACTTATTCATTACTATCACGTTTGGGCTTGTCACGGATATAACGAGACCGTTGTGAATGAGTTGAGACAAAGGTTTTGGATTTTTCACTTACGTCCTACTGTTCGCTCAATCGCTGCTAGATGTCAAGCATGTCGTCTGAGAAAGGCTTCTTCTTCCATTCCACCTGAGGGAGATTTGCCGGTTTGCAGATTAGAACACCATCAGCATCCATTTTTAAACACCGGACTTGATTACTTTGGACCAGTTGACGTTATCATTGGAAGGAGACACGAAAAACGCTATATTGCGCTCTTTACCTGTCTTTCCATCAGAGCAGTTCATTTAGAGCTTATTGGCAATTTGAGTGCAGATGCTGCTATAATGGCACTTAGACGTTTTATGTCACGCCGTGGAGTACCAAAGAAGATTTTTTCTGATAACGCCAAAGCATTTGTCATTGCCAATCGTGAAATAAGATTTATGTGGAGAACTATGAATCATACAGAAGTGGCAGAGTATGCGGTATCGCGCGGCATAGAATGGAATTTTATCCCACCGCAGTCGCCTTTCATGGGTGGATGCTGGGAGAGGCCGGTTCAATCGGTCAAGAGAGCGTTGACAGCTACGGTCAAGAGTAAATCATTTAAGGAAGAAATTCTCATAATAAATTCTCATAGTAAAGCCCTAAGATTAGTAGATCACTTTTGGTCTAGATGGCTCAAAGAATATGTGCCCAGTTTGACACCACGCAGAAGCCAGAACTCTCAGCTACGATATTCCAATTTGTCAGTAGATGACATAGTCTTGATTGCTGATGCGAATATGCCACGGGGATTTTGGCCTAAAGGCCGTATAAGTAGAGTGTTTCCTGGTCATGATGGAATAGTGCGTGTGGCGGACGTAGCCACAACTGGAGGAGTTCTTAGGCGTCCCTCGAGTAAACTTATCAAGCTGAGCACTGTGTAAATATTTTTTTGATTTAATATTTTTTGATATTTGTCTGTTATGCGTGTATGCCTGTTCTCCACGAACATTTGTTAGTACCGAGCCTAACGGGGTGGGCAATATGTGGAGTACAGGCCACATATATTATTTATAGCTATATTATTATTTACCAAATTCGAAATTGACACGCATATCTATTGTTTCCTTTTGGCTTCCCTTTACGGCCCTAGTCTTCTAAGTTCCTTTGACTATTATATACATATTTCCAATTTCCATTCCTGGTTTCCTTTGTCGCCCACAGTGCTCATTATATATTATTAAAAATATATCGGCAGAGAAAAATGGTATATTTATTATTCCATTTATTCCTACTGTACACGCAATGGTAGGGACAGGTGGAAAAAAATTCCACCCTTATCCCCCCAGGACAAAGTCAATATGGACTAGTGGAACTGGCCAAATTTATAACATCCCCTGTTTTTTTTTTTAAGAGATAATAATAATTTATTTGGAACAAAAACATTGGTTACAATATTAGTGAAAAACGATAATATCCGCAGAAGTATAAAACTGTGTCTCGAATATCAACGCCCTCCTTCTCGTTGCAGGATTCCAAAACAGACAAACCGTATAGCTTTAAGAAATCAAAGGGAACAGGAAATGTAATAGATTTAAGATTGAATATTAGTACGTATATTTGTAGTGAAAGTAATATTTTATTTCGACAGAACATTAACTAAACAAGTTGCTAGGTAACGCACAGATAAAGGAGAGCACTATTATCGTTAGACAAAGATCTCTTCTTAACATATAGTAGTTGTTACTATTAAAGTGGAGAACGGAAAGCGATATTAAATATTAAAATACGTATAATAAGCAGAATAAAATGTTACAATCAACAAGATGCTTAGCAACGAACATTGTCATTGATAGACACAGATAATTAGGTCGTATATCTACAACTCATACTCCTAACATCCCGTCTACTTTTTATAGCTGCTGCTACTCATTCCAATGCGTAATGGCAGTTATTCTAATCTTGGTCTGTAGAGTAGCTTTGTAAATGTGTCCGCTTGTTGATGTACAAATGAGACATGCTTCACTAATCTGTACATGGATGCTTGTCCTTTGCACATTCGCTGACACAAAAATGCTTGCGCTTGATATGCTTTATTATAGGTTTTAGGTGCTTTTGTGAGTTCTTTATCTCTCCTGAAGCAGTCATTACAAAGTCATCAAATCTTGTCGGCGCTCGTAAATAATTACGATTTCGAAGTGACCGTTTAACTTCTGTTTGAACTTCTTTACGTGTCTCTACATCATTTGTAGCTTGGCTTTCAAAAGTTCTTGTTTCTTCTATCATCTGGATATTTCTTTCATCATCTGTCTCAAAATCATTATTAACCGAATCATATTCGCTTTCAGTTTCATTTGGGTCAATGTTCTCTTCATTGATTATAGTTTGTTTTTTTTCTCTCTCTTCTAGTTTTTCAATATTATCAAAGAGCAGATCTACATAACCAGTTGTACTTGATTTATTTGCTGATTTATTTGAATTAAAGTTTTCTTTATAGAAAAATTTATCAACAAATTTCACATCTTTTGAAATCATAATTTTACCTTTTGTAGGTACCCAAATTTTAAAAGCTTTTGATCGTTCAGAATATCCTGCAAACATGCCAGGAATTGCTTTTGTTTCAAATTTGTTTCTGTTTTGTTTATTTTTGAGAAGCATGTACGCTTTTATTCCGAATACATTAAAATGATTTAAAGACGGTTTTCTTCCGACCCATTTTTCAAACGGTATCAAGTTGTCAATACTTTTATTTATACTTCTATTCGAAATGTAGTTCGCTGTACATATAGCTTCACCCCATAGAGTCATCGGTGCTCCAGATTCTATCATTAAACATCTAGCTTTTTCTAAAAGGGTTCTATTCTTTCTTTCAGCTATACCATTTTGGTGAGGAGTGTATGGAGCTGTTAATCGTCTTGTTATACCATTCTTCTTTAAAAACATTTCAAATTCATTATTATAGTACTCTAAGCCATTGTCTGACTGAAGACATTTTATTTTATTGCCAGTATAATTTTCCATCTCAGATTTAAATTCCATAAATTTGTCTAATACTTCACTTTTCTTTTTGATACAATATACACGACTATACCGAGTAAGATCATCGATGAAAGTAACAAAGTATTTGTTACCTGCATAAGTTTCAGACTTCATCGGTCCACAAACGTCAGTATGTATGATTTCTAATCGTTGTGTAGTACGAGGAACAGTATTAGCTTTAGATGGTAGTCTTTTTATTTTGGCTTGAATACAAATTTCACAATCTCCAAGTTTCTCATTTAAACCAAATTCTAAACCTTTTAGGCTTTTATTTCTTAAAGCAAACTTCATGTCATTTTCATTCATATGACCAAGTTTCCTGTGCCAGTGATGAATTTTGCTTTGATCTGTGTAATAACATGTTTGAGATTTATTTAGTTTGGCATCAACGTAGTATAAACCATCGGCTTTTCTATGTGCTTTCAAAATAACACCTTCATCTTTGTGAGTAACTACTGCCTTATTTTTTGTAAAGAGTACAGTACACCCATTTTCGGTAATCTTGCCAACAGATAACAGATTCAGTGACAAATCTGGTACATATAATGTGTCACATCATTTAATTTCTTCTTTCTTTCCAGGTTCATTTAACTGTAAACATACTAAACCTTGTCCTTTTATTTCAGCAGCACCATCGTTAGACGCTAATTTTAACGTTTTGCAAGTGTCTTCTAAATTGTGAAATATATTCCTTTCATAAGACATATGTGAAGTGCATCCGCTATCTATGATCCATTCTTTTTTGTTTTCTTCCTTAGATACATATAGACAAATCGCAATATTATTTTTATTTTCATTTTTGCTATCATGACTTGATTTTATATTCGTCTTATTTTTGTAGTATGATGACTTCTTTCTACAGTTTTTAGTATTATGTCCTTTTTTCTTACATATCTTGCAAAAAGCATAATAAACTTCTTCATTACTTGCGCTTGCATCTGCAGAGGATAAATGTTTTCTCGCTTCTGATTCTTCAATAATTTTAACCTTAAGATCCTCAGGTTTAAGTAACGTGTCTCTCGACTCTATCGCTACTCTAAAATTTTCATAGTCTGGCGGCAAGGTATATAGCATCATAACTGAAAGTAAATCTGTTAAGAACCTCCTTGGTTCAATGGCAGGCGATATGCATTCTAGCAGCGCTTGTCAATGTAAAATAAAGAAAAATAATATTTGAATAAATATGACAGATTACCCTTTTGTCTTATATACTATGAACATTGACTGAACTTTCTAACTGACTAATATTAACTAGTGTAGGTAACTAAAATCCTAGTCCTGGTTTTCCTTAATACTGATCCTGGTCCCGGCGTTGCTTAATACTGGTGAGTGCTACTACCAATTTCCTATATTAGGTTATGGGCTAATACCAAACTTCAAAATGGATGTGTCGAAATTTCAAATTAATAAACTAGAAGGTGAAAATTGGATACATTGGAAGTATCGCATGTCAGCACTATTAAGGGGAATAGACGGTTTAACGGATGTAATAAATGGATCAATTAAAAAACCGGAAATGCCAGATAGTAGTGCTGGGGATTCAGCAGCTATGGCTAAGTACGAAGAGGACTTACGAAGCTACACTAAGTTGGATAGTATAGCTGTACTTGTAATAACAAATAATATTTCTGATAATATCCTGGATAAAATTCTAAGGTTAACGACCGCAAAGGAAATATGGGATGAATTGCATCGCCTATACGAAGGTGTATGTGAGGACCGCCTGTATGATTTGTGTTTAGAATTTTTCAGATATAAGAAAAATCCTGCTGATGACATAGCTTCACACATCTCGAAGTTGAAAAATCTGTGGTATAAGCTCAAGCAAGAATTAATGAAAGAAGAGGAGAATTAAAAAAAGGCCGGCAGCACACCTGCAATGCCGCTGGTGTTGTGGGTGATCATGGGCGGCGGTAGTCACTTACCATCAGGTGAGCCGCATGCTCGTTTGCCCCCTGTGTTGTAAAAAAAAAAAAAAAAAAAAAAAAAAAAGGAAGGTAAGGATTTACCTGAAGTTCTATTAATTTGTAAAATCTTGGATACTTTACCTGAAACATATTTTTCATTCAAGTCAAGTTGGCTGTTAATGTCTAAGAAGGATAGGAATATAGAGAATATCACAAGTCAGCTGTGTGCGCATGAAAAGGCACTCGGTAACAATGTAGACAGTGAATCTAGTTGTGAGGCCTTTGCTGTCAAAGGAGTCAAGAAGAAACCTAGTAAGTGTGAAGACAAAGGTAGTAATAACAAGGACAGTAGCAAAAAGTTTAAATGCTTTGGTTGCAAAGAGGTTGGTCACCTTAAGAAAGACTGTCCTAAGAAAGTAGTTTCTCGAAAAGATTGCAGTAGTAAGGGAATTAACATGATGTTACTGACTGTGAATTCGGCTGAAAGTAGTATTGTAGATCGTGACCATTGGAATTTGGATAATGGGGCTACGAATCATGTTACAATGCGGAATGATATCTTTCAAAATTTCGAATACTTCAGTGAAGGTCATACTGTAACTACGGCAGATAAAAATGTGATCAAGGCAGTAGGCAAAGGATCAGTTTGTATTGAGGCCGATGTTAATGGACATACTGTGAGATCGACTTTGAGAGATGTTTGGTATGTTCCTCAGATAAGTAGAAATCTGTTTTCTGTATTATCGACGCAAGATAGGAATCCAGGTAGCGTGTTTGAATCACGGGTCACTACTTGTACTATGAAAATAGGAGGAATGATTACTGTGACAGGAAATAGGGAGAGGTATGGAGGATTATATAAGCTGAATTGTAGAGTCGTACCGCCTATTAATATGTCAGTAAATTTGGTACAGAAAGTTGATATATTGCAACTTTATCACGAACGTTTTGGTCATCAAAATAAAAGACATATAAGAAGTCTGATAGATAGAGAGTTG